GAGGAGGAGGAGGAGGAGGAGGAGGAAGAAGATGAGGAGGAGGAGGAGGAGGAGGAGGAGGAGGAGGAGGGAGAAGATGAAAAGGAGGAGAGAGAGAGAGAGAGAGTGAGAGAGAGAGAGAGAGCTGGTGGAGCCTACCGCCATCGTCGCCGGATGCACTCTGATCGCTGCCTCCCGCCTTTCCCTCCCGCCGCTGAGTGCTGGCACTGCCGCTGCGGCCCCCTCCTCCCTCCTTTGTCAGCCCTCGTCCCTCCTTCGTCAGCCCTCCTCCCTCCTTCGTCAGCCCTCCTCCCTCCTTCGTCGTCCTCGTCGTGGTTCGTAGTCGTCCCTCCCCCCTCCTTTGTCGTCATCGTCCTTGCCGGTAGACGACCTCCCTCCTTCGCCGTCGTCGTCCTCGTCGACAGTCCCCCGTCGTCATCCTTGTCGGCGGCCTTCCTCCCTCCTTCGTCGTCGTCCGTCGTCGTTTCGAAGTCGGCAGTCCCCCGTCGTCGTCCTCGTCGGCTCCTCCCTCCCTCGTCGTCGTCGGTTGGCCGTCACGAACCTGCACACGAATGGGCAGCGCCGACTTCGAAACCGGCCCCGCCCGTGGCCCGAAGTGTTTGTTTTTTGGGGGGAAGGCCTGCAGAATTCGAATTCGAATTCTGCAGACCTTTCCCCCCAAAAAAAAACTTCGGGCCGCGGGCGGGGCCGGTTTCGAAGTCGGCGCGGCCTGTTTTTCAATTTTGGGAGGCCGGGGGGGCACCGAACTCAAMCCCCMCCCCCCCTTTTTTTTTTTTTTTGCGACCCTATTTAATCGGGTGCGCCACACCGGGTGCGGGGCGCAGTGCGGTGCGCTGCGTGTGCAACTCGTGCGCTGAGGCGCGCACCGCGGTGCGCCGCAAGTATGGGGTGGGCCCACATCGGGAACGGCCATAGCCCTACAGAGGAAGCCTAAAAGTTTCCCCCGAACAGACAGACTACCCGGCAATCCTAAAAAGGAAATGACAGCATCCAGTTGTAGGGATAAGTAACTGTTACAAACTTTAGACTAAACAAACACCTCCCACCCCGACGCCAGAGCGCAGTGAAAGGACGGGTTATACCTGTCTCTCTTACTGTAGATAAACCTTCCTTCGCCTGGCTTCAGCGGCAAGGAACTCTGCGGAAAAGGCAAAATTTGTAACTGCGTTCCTTCATGCGAAAGGACGGTCCGATACGGACTCGGCAATGGCAAGTGGAGTGTGAAGCTAGCTTCAATCTTCTGGGCGGACCTACTATCCTGGCTTCTGAATATTCCATGGACAGCTCTCACCACTGTAGCTATGGTGAGGATAGGTCCTCCTGCTTCAGGCCCCAGAGTTACTGAGGACGAAAGCGAGTGGACGCGAGAAAGCATCGGCGCTGTGAATTTTTCGCGAGCTTCCGCTACCGTCTCTGGTACGGTTTAGCGCAGGAAAATTTGCGCAGCGCTTCCGTGTTCCGCTATTCCACCCCGTCCTGCCGCAGTCTATTTTTTTTTTCGTTCAGAACTTTTGAGTCAAGGCATGTCCAAGGATCGGTGGAAAATTGCAGCCCAAAGATCTAGGAGGAGGGAATACTCAGGGATTGCTCGGCAGTCTCTCAGGGACGTCTCAGAAACGACAAAAAGAGAAAGTGGAAGCGGATAAGAGCCACCGGTCCAATACCTCAGCGTCAGCGTCAGAGAAGAATTGCACCCCAACGGTGGACTCAGACTTGAGGGTGAAAAAAATAAAAAAGAAAGAAAAGTGAGGATGACACAGCATCTGGTGGCCAACGGGAGGCTGTCAGTGAGTAGGTATGATATGACCGTCGGGCCAACAGAAGGAGGCAGAGACAGCTGGTGTATGTTTCTAAGGACTGACTGATGGGATTGCCAACCCTGTAAAAAATACTAAAAATGTATTTCAGAAATTCTCTGTTATTTTGTAAGGGTGACCGTGTTGTACCTATTCGATGGAGTCATTTTCAAATGCTGCTGATGTTCGTTAGTTTTTCGTTAGAATTCCCTAAACGTATATTAGGCGTTTTTCTTTACCTGTTCTCAGCCTAAGCCGGGTAATGGGCCCGGCCCCCGGCCCCCGGCACCGGGCACCTCGATAATCTGTAAACTTTCATCAGGGACACTGGGCCCCGATCCCAGCACGTGCTGATCCCCGCGAATAGATTGGAGCATTGTTCTTTTTTTGTGGGGGGGGCAAAGATGGCTATTTTCTGCATGCCTGAGTGACTAGAAATGCAAGGCGCAGAACCCAAGAATGGACCAAAGGAGAAAGAGCAATGACAATGCAGCGGAAGTCTTAGACTGAAAAACACAGCTCTGACTCATCATGACTCAGGGATGACTGCATACATCCATCATCACTCACAGATGATGGGTGTGGCGGCTTACCCATGGACGATAGCCGCCATGCCAACAATGCATCCACGGATGAAGGAGGTGGAGGAAGAGACGGAAGTGGGGAGAGGAAGAGGGAGACGTCATTTCAGGAGCCCGGCGAATGAGTAGTCTCCAACAATAATCCCCAATGTCTCTGTCCGAGTACAATCTCCGAGTCTGGGCAATCGCCCGAATGTCACCAAGTCCCAACGCTCAATATCTCCTTTTCTCTCTCTCTCTCTCTCTCTCTCTCTCTCTCTCTCTCTCTCTCTCTCTCTCTCTCTCTCTCTCTCTCTCTCTAGGATGCA